GTATATTTCTATATGTCGTCTTACCCTAGCTTCACAGACGGTCTCTAATGTCATGACTTTATAGTTCAAATATGACTGATTAAGCCTAAAGAGAATCCTTTTAATTACTTTGATTTATCTTTCCTTCCCAATGTTTGTTCAATAATCATCATTACTCTTACATATCAACTATAAAGCTATCCATAAGATCACTTCAATATTTTAATGTCACAGTATACAATGATACGTGATGACTTGTGATAATTACCCAAATGGATCTTTTATTGGAATTATGTTGAAAGCCTCATTAATTTGAAAAGAAGTTAAACTTTGAATGACACATGCACTACCAAGACGCCTCTCAAAGATTTCTTACACGAATGCCTCTATTTTCAAATTGACTTCCTCTCCAACATAGCCTTACACGCTCTAACCGTTAAAATTTCAAAAGGGCTATAAATACCTTTTTCTTTTCTTTTCTTCTTTTTCTTTTTCTTTTTTTTTTTTTTTCCTTTCTACAGCGATACAATTTTGAGAGCAATAGTGTAATGACTTCCATTATCTCAATATATGAGTTTGAGTGAAACCGATTACAAAAATAAATACTAAAGTGAGAAAGAGTGTGAGTGAATTTGAGTACATAAACTAGTACTTATGTGATACTGAGAGTGAGTGAAATCGAATGTATAAGCCAACACTCATGTGTGACTGAGAGTAAGTGAAACATAGTACATAGATCCATACTCTTGTGATGAAAATGAGTGAGAAATTAGATGTAAAGACCCCTGATCAATTCCTATTGATAGTTGAAATCTCTCATAAGATGAACTATAATAATATACTTATACATTCACGTTTATGAGGTTCATCACATACACCTCGATTTGAGCATATTTTTTTTTCGATAACTGGGGTTTTCGGGGCTTTGCCTCAACTAATCCACGGGACCAGTGCAAGGCCCCTCCCCCTCGGATCGGGTAAAACTCAGACTATGTCCATGAGTGTGACTTCTAAGTAATTCTTTACATTTTTGAGGAATTGATCCTGAGACCTAATACTTCATGAGACATCAGGGCCTAAGTCTTTTCTAACTAGGCAAACCCCTTGGGTTGAGTCGAGTTTTTACTATGAATTACTTCATCCATGACTCTAGGTGAGAGCTATATTGTTGTATCTGTCCATTAAGAGACATTCATTGTATCTAGTTACTATAATCTTCTATCTATACTTGGAAGAAGTCCAGATTGTTCACTTGGCAAATGGGTTACTCGTGGAGCATTGTATATAGGTTAAAACTGAGCTCTTAAAAGAGGAGATGACATTTGACATCTCTAAAAAATGAAGGGTCGAGTTTTTAAGCCTTAAAAGGCATGCATTACTTTTTAGTTTGTTTAAAAGAGGTTTATTTGATTTTCACCCAACGAGAAATAGCTAGTGAATCTTTAAGAAATACTCTTGAGGCATGGATGTAGGTGAGCATGCGTGGTACCAAACCATGTAAATCTGAAAACAATTCTAAAAAATTAAGAGAACAGAAAATTATTTTCAGAGAACTGTAAAAGACAGTTCTCTGAAAACTGAACCAAGCTGAGTTTTTTATATAGTCTTCAGTTTCCTGAAAACAAAATACTATTCTCAGAGTTGCAAAGTAAGCAGGCCCTAATGTTTCTTGATTTTCATTTCTCTAACCCTTACATTTACTTGCCCAATTAATACCTTTATTATATCATTATGTACGCGTACTGTTTTCATATGCTAACACAATTAATTAAATGTCAAAGCTTAGTTATCTCTTAAAGTAAACCAGTAAGGCATAATGTGTATATGCTTAGGTTTGCAAGCTTGTCATTTATTCTCTTCCTTACTTGTTAAGCTTAAATATCTTAAACTGACTAATAAAAGTTTAGTCTTTTGCATAGAGGGAATTGGAAGGAAAAGAAGAGAAAAGAAAAGGAGGGATAATGATTTTCGTGTTTGATTTGTTAACAAAAACATAATAGAAAATACTTGGAGGGATAGTTTATCCTTCAAAATGTCTCTTTTGTTGTTCGTCCAAAAGCGGAAAGATTTAGATAAAAAAAAAAAAAAAAAAGGGAAGATTACAATTTAAGTGACACTTTCATAGTACTAAAAGTAATTTTAACATTTTAGTAAAGAAAATTTAAAAGGCATTGGGTCCCACTAAACATTAGAGTATGATAGTAAATTTATTAAATTATTTTTCTTTCTTTTCTTTCCTTAACTTTTTTCAAATGAGAATATTATTCTTTCTTTTATTTTCGTTCATAATTTATCTAAACATCAATACATCTAACTACTATGTGGTATCTTTTTTCCTGTTTATCCAAACAAAGCTTTAGGTCATTGAAATGAATTGAGTTGAGATTATTTAGTTTAATTTTAAGGAGTGTGGGCAATTAAACATGGCAATTGAATTACAAAATGATTGTTGTATCGTACATAAATTCATTAATAAAGGACGAAGGATAAAAAAAAAATTTGTGTAATTTATATGAATTGAGTAGTACGAGCTTAACTTGATTCGCTCATGTAATTGAAAACTTAACTAGATTACTAGGTCCTTATCGAGGCAACAAAATTGATCCAATTCAAACTGTGCCCACTTCCTATTTAGTACTATAGAGAGATTATATTGAAAAAGACAGTATAATGTAAATACTATTTTTTTTTTTTTTTTTTAATTTTTTACAATCAACCAGACATCTTTCTTATTATTATTATTATTATTATTATTATTATTTGATTTGAGACATTGTGCAATAAACTTAGTTACCAAATATATTTTTTATTAGGGTGATTCGGTCATTTTTCTTCTAATTATAAATATTTCTATATAACAGTGGAGCAAAATTCTCCCCCAATCATGGTGCCTCCTTTGAATATTGTACATATTTCATATATTCTTATCTTTATCATGCCTATATATGCTCACTGTACTCAAGTCATAAACAGATCTGAATAATAAAAATGTAACCCTTAGTGGCGCTTTATCCATGGATGTAGGTCTTAGTACCAAACCATGTATATGCCTGTATTTTCTCTCTTTCCTTTTCCTATTTGCATTTCTTATTTCCGCATTCAAAATTTTAACATGGTATCAGAGACACAGGTTTGTTGTACCCTACTCTAGATCATTATTCCGCACAATCCATCTTTTGATTTTCTTTGAAGTTTTTCCTTTATAATCATATTATTGTAAAACAGAATACTTGTAAAGCAAGTCTTTACTATTATTTGTTTACATCTCTTTTATAACTCACCAATAAATAGATGTGGGTGTTTGTAAACACAATTAATAAAGTTCATAATAAAAAGTAATGTAACCTTTTGGTTTTGTGTGTCGTGGATATAAGCTCTCTAGTGATTGAACCACATTATGTTCGCGTGTTGTTCTATCTTATTTCTCTCTTCAATTTTTTATATATTTTAACATAGTATCATAGCCCCTTTCTAGAATTTGAGGGGGAGTATTGAATTATTATCATGGAGCATATTTTTTTATGTCTACGCATTCCTTTTCGGCTTTTCCCAACGTTGTTCTGGCCATTTCCCGGCGTTGTTTCTACTTTTCCCGGTGTTGTTCCGGCCATTTCTTAGCGTAGTTTTGGTCATTTATTGGCTTTGTTCCAGACACCTTTTCATCATCTTTCAAGATGTTTTTTTAGCAAGTTGGGCATTCATGATATTCATATTCCAACTTGAGGGGGAGTGTTGAAATATATAAATATTTCTATATAATTGTGGAACAAAATCCTCCACCAATCATGGTTATCTGGTCAATTTTCTTCCAATTATAAATATTTCTATACAATGATGGAGTAAAATCCTCCGCCAATCATGGTGCTCCTTTGACTATTGTACACCTTCTATATATTATTATCTTTACCATGCCTATATATAGGCTTATTGTACTCAAGCAATATACTGATCTGAATAATAAAACTGTAGTCCTTAGTCATAGATTTAGGCCTTAGTACCGAATCATGTATATTCCTGTACATGTGTGTGTTTATTTTGAATATTCAAATGAATATATATATATATATATATATATATATATATAGGCATTTGGTTGCTTATAATGAAAAGTCACTTATGGAAAAAAAAAAAAGTTATTTATGTTAGGGTCTAAAATTATAAAAATTGACAATTTAGAATTAAATTGAAAAAAGAATTAGATCAAACTTTCAATTTCAATTTCAATTTCAAATTACCAATTGAAATTATTTGGATATTATTTCATTATAATTGGTTATCATTTATTTTGTATTGAGAAATAGTAGAATACTATTACTTGACCTTGAAAAACAAAAGACAAAACTCATAACAAGAAGAAGAAAATTGAAAATAAAAAGAAAACAGAGTTCCATTTCGAAAATTTTGGTCCACATATTTTCAACTTTTATCATGGTATATAAACATGATAGCTACCTTTGATTGGCATAACTGAAGAAATCAAGTAGGTAATATATATATATATATTTGGAATGATAAAAAATTAACATATTTTCACATTACACCTTTTAGTCTTTGCAAAATTTCTTGCCAAGGGTTGTGAGTCACTCATACCCTGTCAATCTTTCAAAGTGACGTATTTTATGTCCTTACACGTATAAATAAGTGTGTGAATTTTTAAATTCGAAAAAAAAAAATTTAATTTTGAACTCTAGACTTTTCAAATACTAAACTTGACAAAAAATAATTGAATTACAATTAATTAGTAGTTAATTTGCTTAAATTATCTTTTTTGAAGGTCATTCATTTTTGGAGTTTCAATTGATTTTTTTTTTTTTTTTGACAAGTAATTTTAAATTTTGTCACCCTCAAAAATTATAATTTAGTATTTATTTTTTCTTGCCCGGATTTAAAAATAAAATTAATTTTACAATTCAAAAGCAAACAAGTGAAAAACCCTCCTGTAAGGTGTTACTACAGGCTACAGCAGAGCGGTCTCTCTCTCTCTCTCCACGTCTGGATTCTTCATTTTAACAACATTCTCTCTCTACACTCTCTCTCTCCTCTTTTTCTCTATAAATACGACCCTGTCCCTCTTTTGAAGCTTCTCTTCCCTTTTGGGGTTTTTTCTGGAGGCTGAGGGGGCGAGAGAAGGGGCAATCCTTTCTGAAGATAACTCAAATCAAACATTGAGACTTCGAGGATCTGAGAACACGTACAGAAACCCATATTTACACACACAAAAATATATATATATAGAGAAAGAGAGGTACACACAGAGAGACACCTTCGCATATTTGTTGCTTTCTGTGCTCTCTCTATTCGATCTTCTGTATCTCTTCTCGTAATGTCTACTTTTTATCAGACCATGTCTTAAAAACCCAATAGTACTTCACGTTTTGTCCGTTGATTTATTATAATTTACACTCCCCACCTTCGAGCCTTTCAATCCCTTCTTGCAACTCTTTGGGTGTGTTTTCAAATTGGGTTTTTTTTAAAAATAAAAAATATATATTTTTATGGGTTTGATGATTTAAATGTAGGGTTTTTCTTTTTTCTTCTTCTGTGTTTCGTGCTTGATTTGTTTTTGTTGATTTGATCTTTTCAGATCGCTACTGGAATTAACCCTAATTGCATTTTTAAATTATTAGGGTTATTATAAGAATAAAAACCAGATTATTGTTAAGAACTGAGCATTGCAATAGTATAAACATTGGTTAGTTGAATCTTGTGTAGTGTTGGAGTTTCTGGGAGTTCATATTGTGGATCCAGTAGCTCCGGTTGTGAGTCTGCAAATTGAATCTGCACAAGGATTCGATGAAGATTGGATTTGAACAATGGAATCAGATGGGTTTTAGAGTTTGCACATGTGGTTTTTGAAGAGTTGACAAGTTTTGACATTCCAAGGTTATGTTGGTTACCTTTACCTTATAAGTTGTTGATGTTATATAGTCAGGAAATGATCCTGATATTAGTTTTTGATAATGGGCAGGTGATGGTTATCTATCCACCTGGTAGGACAGACAAAGCATCAGATTGCTATAGGCACTCTTCATTAGTTACTGTAGATTTGATCAGTGCTTGTTTCATTTTTGCAATCTCTGGTTCCAACAGAAGGAGTTCATTGTTTAATTTTGGAAATTTTGATTTGGGGTCGATTGGAGAAGATCATGGAGCTATGTTCTAGCTGGAGATGACATGTTGCATGGACAAAAGAGCTGTTTTTGGTCTTTTTCCATTTTGGAACAGCCTTACCGGATACTAGATAAAGCTTTTCAGTTGGTGGAAGGTGTCACTTTTGCCATTTCTGTGATCACGCGTGCAATGTCTCGCTGCTTTCCATTTCCGCCTCCAGGATATGAAAAGAAGGCTAGACTTGATGATACAAACTTGCTAACAAAGGTTTATACATACAATCTTTTTAATTGATTGCCTTTGTTAGCTCTACTTATGTTCATTTCATTGTTCTACCCTTTTGTTTAGAGTTGCATTATTATCATGTCATGGCTTTTACTACAACGATATTTGCTTGGAAAGTAACATCAAGGTTCTTAAGTTCACTGAGATTTTCGACCCTAGATAAAAGGAAACATTGGAGGACTATAATGAGGAAATTTTGGTAATAATAGGAAGGGTGTAACTTCTCATTGAAATTCCCTTTGGTATATGCATGATGAAAGTTAAAATTATTTGAAAAGAAGAAGGCAGAGAGCTATTAGTTTAAGCCTTTAGGGAGAGAAATCATGTTTCATGGAGCATTATTTATAAAACTACATTTTTAAAGTTTTGAATCATGTTGTGTGGCAATATTTGTATTTTCATTGTCATTTGTTATTTTTGTGGTAAGATATACGTAATTTAGTTAAATGAATTAAAAATAATTTTGAGGTATATTAATATAGTAAGAAATTGGCAAATGAGGGCATTTCCTTTAATCATATCTCACACTAAAAAAAGTGTAATTAAGATCTTACCTGTAGATGTATGCTAATAAATTACATCAATTCACAAGTTTTTGGGAGAAAAAGTAAGTTGATACAAAACTTATTAATACTCTCAAATTGTAGTTTCTTAGGATGTTTTTTTTCATATGTGCATTTGTTTTATACCTTCTTAAATGAACTATCCATGTTCGTGTCGTGGTAAAACCGTTAAAGATTGAGCTGCCAAATGTTAGAATACAGATTCAAATTTGAGAACATGCTCAAAACTTTGGCCTATCAATTATCCAGTTTGTCCTCCAGCATCCCAGTTAATGATTGTTACACTGTCTAATAGAAGAAAAAAAATAGAAAAAAAAGTCCTTGTTACTAGTGTATGGAGCGGTATTTAGTGGGGAATATGGGATACTTGTTTTATATTAGAGTTGGTGTATCAAATACGATTCTTAGGCTTGCTCTTACTCGATATGCATATTTGAGTTGGCATAACATAGGAAGAATGCACTCTTAAGTTGTTACCGTAAAAAATTATGCAATAGTAATGTATGTAATGAAATGTGTTAAGAACAATTCTAATCCGGTCTTTTAAAGTTGTATTATCATATTAGTTGCCCTTTATAAGAAGGATCTATGCCCATGTTGGAGATGTGTGGCATCTTGGATATAATTATTAAAAATGAAATTCTTAATTTCGGACACAGTGCCGACATTGTTGGGACACTTGCCAACATTTGAATAACAATACTTAGATATTTGAGATGTAGATTTCTGTTACTGTGCTAAATATGTAATTGTAAAGAAAAATCAAATTAAGGGTTTGTATAAGATTTCTTGAAAATTTTGACCATAATTTTGTCTGTATATGCATAGACATATCTATATACATACACATGTTCATTCACGTTTATGTCTTGTTCCTGCTAAATTTTTGTCTATGCAACATAGTTGATTATCAATTGATGCGATTCTTAGTGTGTATATATAAAAGGCCATGTATAACTTATCATAAAATGAACTTAAGTTGTATAGCCAATAGTTATATATATATATATATATATATATATATATATATATCTTATTTACTATGTCTATGTCCTACCTCGTGAACATTACAACCAATAAATCGAGAATCTTTATACATTTACATTAAAAGTTTCTATTTTTACCCAAACTCACAAGAAAAGGTAGAATTGAGCTTCCTAAAGGTAGAGTGAGGAAAGGATCTTAGCCACCGGGATAGGCTTTCGTAAAAGCACCTTTAGGCGATAGTTTCTTGATCAACTATCTTAAAGAAGTAAAGCCACTTGCCTATCACATTCGATATTGTTTTAGAGTTCTTGTTCAAAATATTCCATAATACGCCTTAGCACCTTTCTCACAAAAGTATAGGTTCAGGTAAGCCCCTGCAGCATGTGGAGCATGCCGGTCCACCTCCTATCAATGATTTACTGTATTTTCCGGCAGTTTGGTTCAGCTACAAAGATCTCAGATGCGTTCCTCAGGGTTGGTTTACTAAGCTGGACTTACGCGGAGTGCAAGTCCAGCTTAGTGAAACTCGTATACAATAGTTCTAATATAAATATATATTTCTTATTTACTATGTTGTCCTAGTTTTTCGGATTTACTCTGTCGGCATAACTGATCTTGTCATTTTGGCATCTCTTGTTGGTGTTCATGCTTTTATAGTTTTGCCATCGACATGATCACGTGATTTTAGGTTGGCTTTCTCTTTACATTTTTGGTTACGGTATCTCATTTTGGGCCTAAAAACAATAATAAAAATATATTCAACATGAGAAAGCCTCTATTCCAATTATCTCGGTTCAACCTTAGCCGCTTAATTCCGCATTGCCACTTTGTTATCCTTGTTAATTTACATGCCTGCAAGGTGGAGGTTGTACATTAATTGTTTGCTACAATCTCCGCTCTCGAGGTGTATAAATTAACTTAGTTTCTTTTTCTGTTTTTAATTTAATTAATGAAAAGCATATTTTGGTACTAAATCAGTCACATGTTTGGAAAAGGCTACTCTCTTGATTGCAATTTCATAATTAATAGATTTAATTATCTTGTTTCTAAAGTGTTTCTGGTGAAATGCTGAATGGTGTACCAAATTGAATTTATTTTTGGAATAGTTTTAATTATCTCATCTACTATTACGAAGAAAGTTGATTTTTACGTGCCCATAAAAAAAAATGAAGTTGGTTTTTAAATGAAAAGGAGAAATTGTGAGTGTATGATGTTGCCAATGTTAAAACTTTAGAAGACATGGCATTATTATAATGCTCTTACAACTACTTATATGGCCAACCGCTACACAGTCTAATCTTACATGGAAGTTAAAGTTAAATTGAGCATGAAATCACAGACTGATATTATTAGCTGTTATAATGTCCACATGCAATACGTTATACAACAAACTGACTCTAGTGCAATAAAATTCTTACACCAACTTGGTACTTAAAGGTAACAATTGTCATGAATCAATATAATTAATAAGAAATAATAAATATATTGATCAACTTTGTTACGTTTACTAATATATTTGGATTTTGCACTAGGATAACTTTAAACTAAGTTAACAGTATTCATTTTATATATATGACGTATATAATATACATTTATGAAATTCATTTAGAGTTTGGTCTTTAGTGCCCGTTGTCTTTGCAAGGGGCTTGCCAAACAACAGGGATTTTCCCTAGGGTGCATCAAGGTGCTTTTGTGGTAACTGGTAACTCACCTTACAGTTTGTTAGGTTAGTGTCTAAAAGTGTTTTTGGTGACAGTGAACCTAATTAGCTAGAATGCTGATACACAGTCCGATTCTGACTGTTCAGCATTTCCAATTAGTTGTTAGGAGAACATGGCATGGTCCTTTCTGCTTTGCAAATTTTTTGTGAAGTACCAGAATCTTTCTTAAACTTAGTCAATTTTTGTGGAGAAATTGCTCAAACGGGAAGCTGCTCTGGAATATTGGAATTCCACTTGACTTTCTTAATGATCATCTGGTGTCATGTAATTCAAAATTGTTTGTTGTTACTACTAATTTATTTTATTTGGAACACTTAATTTATTTAGTTCTACACACTGAATAACCTTTATGTTTATGACTCCATTTTCCAAGGTTGGTGATAACATTTAGTTATGATACAGCCTTAGAGTTTTCACCCCCTTTCAAATTAACTAGGTAATTCTTTAGACCTATTTTAAAATAGTCTTATATCTTCTGTTTTGAGAAGTGAACTTATTGATGCTTATGGTCTTTCTACTGTCTTGTCTAGGTGCTTCTTGATTGGCTTTACTTAAGATATTGTTCTGCACATTTGCATGTATATAACACTTCTGAATAGGCAAGAAAAATCTGGGAGAAAACCTGAAAATGAAGTTTTTATTCTTTAGAGATTTGTGTTCATCCAATTCTAGAACATTATAATACGATAGATGTGGCAGTTAACTTGAAATTTTGGTTATGCCACTTTTTGATCCCTTACATGTTTAGCATATTTATCATTATCATATGATACGTATTTCTTACCTACTGCATGCAAAATGATCCTTTGACTCTGATAGTTAATTATTAAAGATCTGTAGTGTTTATCTTTTGAGGAACAAATTTGCTTCCATTTCAAATGAAGTTTTTGTTCTTTAGAGATTTTTGTTCATCTCATTCTAAAACATTATAATGCATTAGACGTGGCAGTGAATTTGGAAAATTGGTTATGCCATTTGTTCCCTTACATCTTTAGCATATTTATCATTATCATTTGATAAATGGTTTTTAATGCTTGTAACAGAGAGGCATTTCTTACTCACTGAAGAAAAGATAGGCATCTTGCGGCATGCAAAATGATCCATTTGACTCTCTGATTGATTTATTAATGATCTCTAGTGTTCATCTTTTGAGGAACAGATTTGCTTCCATTTCATATTATTATAATCTCATTAACTATCATATTGCAATTAGACTAAAGCTATTCATTGTTGTAATTGGTGAAAAATTTGAGAATAATATTAATCATTGAAATTAATGCGCTGACATTGGAATTTGTAAAGAAAACTAAAAAACAAGCAATCGGAACAAGCTCGCCTTCTTTATTTAGATTTTTTTTTTTGGGTAGGAGTGTCAAAGGCATACTTGAGAGCTTTGTTATTTGGATTTAGGTATGCATGTTGGGTATTGGTTTTTTTGTAGATGCATGTCAACCGTATGTGTGGGACACATCTTGTATATAAAGGCCTAAAGTAAATTGGTTAAGAAATTATTGTTAATGAGTTGAAGAAAAAAATTAGTAATATCTATTATAGCTAACATGTTTCCCAATGTTATTGGTAGTAGAGTCTAATGGATATAAATATAATCAATAATAGCACCCATGAGAGATGAAGTGAGAGAAATTTGGCTAAGATGTTTTGGATTTTTATTGATGCTAAAATCTACTGGAGTTACCTACCAAAAGAAAAAGAAAAAGAAAAAGAAAAAAATCTGGATTTAAAATTTTATATATAATTAGTAATAGCACCTCTCAGAGTTTAAATGAGATATAATTAATTACGATGGTTTGGAGATGTACAATGAAGATCCTTGATTACACCAGCCGGTAAGAATGATGTGATTCACTTTAAGGGTAAGTGTGATTTAGCAGAAGGTATAACTTGAAATAGAGCTAATGACAAAACATGATTCAAGTAGAAGAAGGGAAATAGTTGGGACAAGATCTTTTTGAGTTAATTTTTTTTATTACATTTTGATTTAAATCACTTGAAGGTAAAAGAATTTTCAAGGCCCCTTTGCTTCGATTAGAAGTCTAGTTCATTATTTGATTTATCCTTTATAAGCTATTTTTAGATTTTTGCATCTTCATAGATTATGTATCTCCAACATATCTTTTTCCTTTTGACAACTGCATAAAAACTCACGAATTATTTGAATATATTTATTCTTACAATATATGTTGCTTGGATCCAGTCTTGATGTGGGAGTATCTCTAGGTGTCACATCGAACCTCAAATTTTAGGACGTTGGAACTTGGCTTAAGATGTATCCAAGTGTTGGGTACTGATATGATAGACATGTCTTGTTCATCTAAATATATTATAGGTTATGCAATATTGTATTGTATGATGATATTGTTATTCAAGGACATATATGAGTTTAGATTAAATTAGATGTGGTGGTAAAGGGCGACTCCACTAATCTCTTCATATGAGAAGTATCGACATGTCCATGTAGGACACAAACTTCATACTCATAATTATATTTCAACAAGGGGTAGGGGTCAACCTGCCAACGGGGCTGGAACTCAACATGAAGTAAGTGGGCTTTGGTTGACTTGTTGTGTTCATGTTGTAATTGTGTCAAACTTGATTAACCATTGAGATAAATAGGTCGTGTTTGGGTATTGCACTCAGTTTGATTCGCTTAATTAAATGTGCTAGGTCAATTGGGATATACAGACTTGTTTAAATATGTGTAAGAAGTAGTTATATGTAAATTACACGTACATATGTGTCAATTCATAATAGTGAAACTCTGAACATAAGTGTTTACTTTATCTGCATAATTTTTCATTTGTTATTTTAGTTCTATCGGCTCATCTTTTAATATTTTGCATTATTTAATGAATTTACGTAAGTTATTACACAGGGTTGTGTTGTGTTACATGTTACATGACCTAACCTAACCTATTTATTAAACAGTTTACATGGATTGTGTTGGGTTACCTGTTAAGTAGGCAGGTATTCAGTATCAAGGGTTCTTGATGCGGATAATAAACAAGTTGTATTCTGGTTGTCACATATTGGTGCTAGATAGAATGGAAGAAAGAGGAGGAAATACAAAATTTTTTTTAATAATTCCCGAGTCTTGTATGCATGTCATTTCATGTTTAACTAACATAGTTTGCGGGATCTACTCCTCGTTTAGCTGTACAGATGTATATGATATCATCACCGCTGGGGATACCTAATGCCTCTTTGCATCACATGAAAGCACTCAAATGTCTGTTAGTTAGATCTTCCACTTTCAAATTGATCTGTAACTGGTATGGCTCAATCACAACGCCAAGTTCAATTACTCCTCACAGTCTCGCAGATATAAAGCCTCTATCATTTCAGTTCTGATATATCTTGATCTGTTTTTCAAATACTTTGTAGTGTAACATAACTCGACTCTACTCTCTGAGTCTCTATAGAAAACAGAATAGATAAGCTCTCTTTATGCTATAGGAGGATTCGGAGAGGACACCAAAGGGAATGACATGTATCGACATTTTTTATTTTAGATATGGGGAGCACTATACATAGATAAAGAGTCCCTGTAACGTAGATTGCACTCATGAACTGCAATGGGCCCCAAGCTCTTTTGCACACAATAATATTAAGAAATTTGATTTGACATGGGCAATTTTGAATGTAGTTCTATCAAATTCCGTACACTGTCCTATACTCCTACACTTGGATAAGAAATCTGAAAATCATCTCTACAAACTAATTAATAAAAAGTCCTGAAACTCATATTCTTTCTTTCTGTCTTTGGAGATAAAGATTCTTAAAGAGATGATCTGCAATGGTCCTACATATATTAAAGACAGATTTAAGTAAACCTTTGCTCAGAGTTTATGCCACAAATCTGGGATCAAATTTCCCCGAGCATGAACACCATACTGACCTGTTTGTTTTCAAAACAAAAACAATAAAATGTAGGAAACCCTACTAGATTGATGACCCGAACCCACAGGAAAAGCATCTCTAATTAACTGCTGTCCTTATTAAATTATAGAGTTCTATTTACTCCCCTTTGCACATATAATGATGAGGTTTGATATATGATCCTCATAGAAGGCACAACTGACTTTATGCAAGTCAAAAGTTTCTCAGTTGGGGAATGATTGGCATATGAAAAGGCTGTAGGAAACAATTTCATCATTTGGTAGTTAGTCTATATACTTGGGGACGAGGTGCGTAGTTGTTGCTGAATGCATAATGCAGTAGACCACTATTGCCATCTCATTGTCGTCGTCCTTGCCTTAATCCCATATGAATGGGGTCGGCCACACCACTATTGCCATCTCTATTGTTTTATTATCCTCTTTTGTTCAGTCTTTCAAAGAGGAACCGAAATGAGCACTCACTTCTTCATAAGCATAGAGCCATTATGGTTGGCCCTAGGCTTGTGCCCCTTTTGGTTGTTTCACGTATCTCTGAGGTTTTCGTTAATCAGGTCAGGAAATAAAATCTGAAGTGGAAAGACATACAAGTATAGGGAGAGAAACAGAAGATATATATAGCGCTTAGAAACTTAGCAGTGATCAATCATTTTATTTCCAGATGTTGTTATTGAGAAGAACTAACATTGTAGGAGAGAAATAGATAAGAACAGAGCATAGATAATGCCATAAACAAGCATCAAAATCTTTGTCAACCCTAAACCCTTTAACCCTTGCTGCCAAAGCCTCTTGCTTGTCATGTTATAGATCCATTTGCTAATTATACGAGAGAGGAAATAGAGAACACAGAAAAAAGAAAAAAGAAGAAAAGGAGGGAGGGGGGCGTTGAAAGGTGAAGAAAAATGAAAAACTAAATCATCGTATTGGCTGGGGTGCTTTTCTAATCTTATTACACATTATAGAATGTTGATTTTGCCCATGAAAGTTGTGAGAGTGTAGATTTTATAGCCCCTGGGCACTTGAGAGAAATTCCAGTAAGATAAGTGAAAAGAGATGGTGGAAAATAACTGAATGTGTACAAGAAGAAGTATCGGTAAAGAACATGGGGTTGGTTCCTTTTCGCCACTTTGTAGACTTCTCATTATTTCACGCAATTGTCTCGATGTCATCATTTCCAGATTCTTTTTTTCACGGGCATGTGAAATCTAGACTACCTAGCATTTTCTGTCCTTAGTAGCCACTTATAGAATATGCTGCTATATTTGATAGACAGGCATGTAATATAATACTCAACACTCTCTAACACAATATTTTCTCACTTCATCCACCTGTCCTAGAAGATAAATCTGTGGGCTTCTTCTTATGGCCTATCTACTTGATGCAATGGGCATAGTTCATTTTCAGTATCATATTATCTTTTTGCTACCAATGGTGATCATGGGTTTGCTAACTTGTGTAATTTTGTATCTTCTAGTCTTGCCTGCCCCTAAATTTTCTACACCCATAGCGTTTCTCTGTAGATTCAAAATGTAATCAACACCGTCACTGCCATACAAACTAACTGTGAACCAACGGATGCCATTTATTGTTTTAAATATATGCCAGAGAATTTATCCATAACCAGAATGAAATGATAGAGGCTTAACTTTCACCACTATTTTAGTGTTACAAGAAATAGATTTCTCATGATTCTCACACTACCTTGTGTCAAAGATGTCCTTGATAATGTTAACTTATTATATATACATATATTTTTGTGTGTTTTTATTCTATAGAACCCAATTGTTGAATTCATCGTCTATATTGATTTATGTGAACGCATATGTGCTACATATTCTATAGATGCTTTTATGACTCCATGGGAAGCAGACATTTCTACTACTTTTGTGTGTATGTGGCTTGTTTGAGTGCATTTGCTATCTCTTAAACTGACTACTTCATGTCACCGTGCATTTGCTATCACTAATTCTGTTTGTATTACTATTTTTGATAAATTGGTAGTCATATATTATATTGCTTGTTAAATGGATTGAGCTCTTAGTTGATGTCTTTTTATATTTATGTGTGTGTGTGGGGTAATGCAAATTAGAATGTTGTCATTTCTTGTTCTATATTTTTTGCGTCCTAGTATTTTTTCTTTCAGTCATCTGCATTTGTACTTGGTGGGTTTCAGAGAAAAGGTATTAAACACTCTGAACTTATCTCAAAAAGATTAAAATCTGGGAAAAAGACAACTCTTTGCAAATACTACTTTGCTTCTAATCCCGGAACTTGACACCCTTTTTGTTTGATTTGAATCTTTCTTCCTCCTGAACCTTCTATCATTTTGTTAGTTGACATCATTAGTAGTAATGCACTACTAATTTTCGTTTCTCATATATTATGACAGATTGTTTATGTACATGTGAGTCCTAATTCAAATACTATTTCAGGAGAAACCCAAAGAGAAAAAACGCAAGGATAAGAAGGACAAAGAAAAGAGTGAACGTAAAGAAAAGAAGGACAAAGGGAGCAGCGAAGAAAAGCAAAAAGAAAGGAAAGACCGAAAAGAGAAGCACAAAGACAGGAAGGACAAGGATAGGGACAAAGAAAAGAAAAGGACCTCGGACGAGAAGAAAATTGTAGGGCCACCAGAGTGTTACAATGGTGGGAAGCTTGATACAACCTGCCTGCAGAATGGTGAGACTAAGGATTCTAAATTTTTGCAGGAGTTGGGCAAGAGAATCAGGGATGAAGGTGGAGCAAGAGAAAACGAGATGGTTCAGAAGAGTGCTGCCACAGAACAAAGAAAAGCTGAACTGCCAAGGAAGGTGGTGGAGAACCATATTGGCAATTCGGCAGAAGGAAAAGAGAAGTATAAGAGACAAGATGATAAAAGGGCTAATGGACAAACAGACAAAGTTGAGGCAAGAGGTATGGAAAGTGCTGCTGTTCAGAATTGCACCAAGATGGATCAAGAAAGGGTTGAAGGAGTGGTTATACCAGTAGACAATGATGCCAAGAAGCAGAGGGAAGGGAAAAAGAGGAACAAAGACAAGGATAATGATAGTAGAGGTGATAGAAACAAGGATAAAGAACGAGGGAAGAAAAAAAAGTCGAAGAATAAGGATAGGGATAAGGAGAGGGAAAAGAAGGAGAAAGCAAAGGAGAAGGAATCAAATAAAGAGAATCCCGAATCAAGAGAAAGCTGCAAAGATTCTTTAGATATACACAATATAAAACCTTCATACCTTTTGAAGGAGAACAAGAAGAGTTCTACCAGTGATGGAAATCTTGGCAAAAGAAAGGAGCAGGCTATGAATGGATTTTTACATGGTAAGTTCTTCCCTGTACTGTGCATTGAAGTTACTGCTGCACCTCTATAGCCAGCTGGTGATTGGATACACATACTCTGCTGTGTGTTTGTTACCAAGGCTGGCAATAGAGTCATTGCAGCATTTCAGTGGTTCGGTACCTGGATATGCTGTTGTTGCTGCATATTTTTTATTTTTTATTTTTTTAATAGATCTTAAAAAAAAAAGTTGTCCAGCTAAAATTTGGTAACTACTGTCGCTGTTGAGGCTGAAAATGACATCTTTGACAGGACTTTTTTAAGGATAAAATTCTTGGTTCTAAATTTATCTACTCAGCTTAGTTTTTATGTCAACTTATTCTTTCAACTTTATTACAGACAGTGACACTCGGCCCAATAAGTTATCAAAACCTGTATCTTCCTTCCATCAAGACGTGGAACTTGGAAGGAAATTGGAACCTTGCCAAACCACACTCCAGTTTGCATCTGAGAGTCCGGGGGCAGCCAATAACCTCAAGGTGGAGAGTAAAGTTTCTTGCTCTCACCCAGCCCTGGAAAATGGTAGAAAGCTGGAATTGCACCAACTCACCATCCATTCTGCATCGCAGATGCAGGGGACAACCAATAACCACGTGAAAGATAACAAGGAAACCAGGATTAATGGTTCCATACAGGCTCAACAACCAAATGTTTGCTCAACGAGGCCCTTGTTTGTTTCTATACATTCTAAGGCAAAAGTTGAAGCATCGGTGAGACCTCCACACCATAAAGTGGATAATAAGGTTTCTTCTTCTCACCCAGTCTTGGAAAATGGGAAGAAGTTGGAAGTGCACCAACTACCGATTCAATCTACATCAGAGATGCAAGGGGCGGTCAATAACCACAAGAAAGAGAACAAGGAACCCAAGATTAATGGTTCAATAGCGGTACAACAACCAAATGTGTGCTCAATGAAGCCTTTGTCTGCTCCTGTAAAAGCCAAGGCAAAAGTTGCAGTGAAACCTCCACACCCTGATTCCAAGTATTTGAGCCAAATTCTTTATGTACCCAAGATTGAAGCATGGTCAGATTTTGATGACCAAGACTGGTTGTTCGGCAATGATAATCTCCAGCTAAAGAAGCCTAAATTGGATTCTTCAAAGGTTGATGGGACACCGAATGTGTGGGATGAAGTTCTAAGGATGGAGTCTGCAGATGTTACTGCGCTGCCCTACGTCATTCCTTACTAATTGGTATTCAATGGATTCAATTCCCCTCTATCATCCTCCAAATTGGCAACCCCTTCCCCTCCCTCATCCAGGAAGCTATGCAGAATGGCCTCGAGGTTAAAGGGTTATGCTGCATTTTCCTTTTATTACCCTCCCAGATCAGTTCAATGATTCAAATGTGCTGGTTTCTGACTGCATTAAATACAATTGCTTGATCTCCTTGTCCTGTAAGTGTTTCCATATGGATTCAGGTTTCACAACGGCTGCTTTGCTTCCTTTCCTCAATTGGTGCATTTCTGCCTGACTGTGGTCATGAAAGGGTCGGTGGAAGAAGTCTTCTTTGGCTTCACAGTTAAGATCTGATGAGATGTTCCGACTCAGTTGCTGAAGCACGGCTATATTGTTGAAGAGTCGGATGGTTCGGTATACTAATTCTTTGAGAATTCATACAACTGAAATATGATAGAATTGCTGTGGTGTTTTTTGCACCACTACAAAATTTTGGCATGTAATATATAGATCTCATAAACTGATTTTTGAGTATATAAAAGAGAAAAATAGAGAAGAGGCAGTCTCATTTCATGTATCATTTCTTTTTGGCGTCAACTTTCTCATAAACTGATTTGAGTCTCATTGTATGTAACCTTTCTTTTTGTCTTCAACAATTTTCACAAGAATCAACTCAATTACATGTGTATGCGATATATCATGTAATACATTGGGTTATGATGCCTAATTTGTTGTCAAGGAACCATGAATGTATGATATTGACTTGATTAAAGTTTAATGCGTGGTCCCATCATGCTTCTTAATGCAGAGGATTATGATTGTCAAATCAAAATTCAATTTGGGGTTCATCGTTTGATACAACAGTCAAAATTCAGAACGAACTATTCAAATTAACAAGTTCGAAGTTTAGGTTCAGAATCAGCCTCTGTATAAATAATTTACCACTGAAAATAATGTGGAATGTCAGGTCTGTTCCAGTCTTCTGTTTTTTTTATCCCCACAGATGCTCCAAATTGTTGCATCTGTGAATAGTTAACAAAGTAGAAATTTACATTTATAGCATTGGGTGGTACATTGCAAAATTTCTTGGTGCGATGGCATGATGAACTAAACATGAAACATCGGAAAATAAATAAATAAATAAATAAATAATAAAAAAAATTGAGAAAAAAAAAATAATGAAACACTGGACCTGGAAATGAATGAAAAAACTTGGATTTGGTAAATAAAATGAGTTAAGTAGTTGGAGCTGGAAATACACTTACAAGATTTTGAAGCATTCCAATTCACGATCTGGGTGGTTTTCAAGAACTCAAGACGATAAAGATGCAAATGTTGCTACAAAACTAAGAACGAATGCTCTACACTATTTTGAACTAAATTTTCTCCAATTCTAAGTCTCCAATTCCATGCAACCAAACATAGGATAGAATAGTTTCAAGCATTCCAATTCATGATCTGGGTCATTTTCAAGAACTCCAGATGATAAAGATGCAAATGTTGCTACGAAACTAAGAACGTGTGATACACCACAGGCTGCTAGCAGTAAACCATGAACAAAAATCAAGCCCGTATAATGTGCATCAAAGCATGATCATTTTACATCGAGAATGTGCTAAAAAACCATGAACGAATGCGCTACACTACTTTGAACTAAATTTTCTCCAATTCCAAGGCATCAACTCCATGCAACCGAACATAGGATAGAAGATTTCCAAGCATTCCAATTCATGATCTGGGTCACTGTCAAGGACTCAAGATGATAAAGACGCAAATGTTGCTACGAAACTAAGAACGTGTGCTACAACACTGGCTGCTAGCAGTAAACCATGAACAAAAGTCAAGCCAATATAATGTGCATCAAAGCATGATCATTTTACATCGAGAACATGCTATAACACAGTCGAAATCTGGAAAGAACCACTGGTTAATATAACTACCAGCATTCATGTATATTCAGAGATCTGGGATACCTAAAAGAATAAGAGATAAAAAAAAATATTATATATATATATAATATATATATGTAAGAAGGCATATTGTGACCAACCCTTTCAAAATCAGATGGCCTGCCATGCATCAGTTGACAAACTATACTAATGAAAACACAATACAGATGACCCGAATAAATGCTCTTTCAGCCAGGGTCGAGATACGAGACACTTCAACAACACTCAAACCATCTTTGATAGTCTTGTTGGTGAAGAAAATCTTTATGCTATACATATTACATATGTAAAGTAAATTAAAATTGCCGATTTCTCAATCATCATATTACGCAATCTCAAAGTGAACTCTGGGCAAGACCCACATTACCGGGCATCCCTGAGATCTGCTTATGAATTGCCCCATCAAGCATGTGTCAGGACTGAGCCAAAGAGCTGAAAGAACCGAATAAGGCATACAGAGCAGTCCTGAAATTTTGTTATTGCGGTATTTGGATTAAAAATCATCCTTCAATGGTAGAGTTCGGAATGCTTTGCAAAAATATTGCTCTTGCAGCAGGGTCTGTTGAAAAACGACCTAGAACAGCAATAGTAGCTGTATTACTTCCAAACTTCTCGATCCCTCGAGAGACCATACAAGTGTGGTTAGCCTCCACTACTACCATAATGTTTCTGCCTAAAAGTGACGAAACAGTCTCAGCAATCTGCCTGGTAAGTCTTTCCTGAACTTGGAGCTTGAAACCATGGAAATGTACTACTGACTCTAGAAGGGATTTTCCAATGGGATCGACTCCTTGAGCGCAACAATATCCTATATGTACGACACCATGAAAGGGAAGTAAATGATGTTCACACTGGGACAAGAATGCCAAATTTAGCTCAGAATGGATCTGTTCATTGTTGTGACCGACATCCCCATTGGACTTAACAGGATCTATTCTACCAAGAGCAAACCCATTCAACTTCATCTCCAAATTAGACTTTTTAAAAATCATCAGCCACTTGAGATAACGAGTTGGAGTTCCTACAAGCTCTTTTCTTGTTGGATCTTCACCCAAAGACCGAAGAATTGAAGCTACCGCATCAATCATTCCTGAATTGGTTGGTCCTATCTTGGAGGAAGACGGAGATGGGCACCAAGATTGGTCAACAGAGTCTCCGGAATGAAAATTCTCCACATTTAATCCTCTGCATTTTAGAAGACTCAGGAAATCCCCCCAAATGTCTGCCTTCTCATTTTCAAAAGCTCCTGAACCTGAAGAAACCATTACCTTTGCCCATCCTTGGCAGTTTGAGTCAAGAAAGGGCAATGCAGAATTTGGGAAGTGAATGTGTAAACACTGAAGAATGACAGCAACACCTGTTGGCTTGATGCCCTGCTGCAAACCTGAGCACACTTCATCTGCCAGACGCTGTGGTACTTGGAGCCGTTTCGCAAAGACATCAGCTACCCGAGAGAGCTTGCTCAGGCCAACAACTCTTTGCCCTGATGGGACATAACCTATGTGACACTTGACCCGGAATGGAAGCAAGCAAGATTCACAGTATGAAAAGAGATCAAGATCTCGGACTATAACAAGCCCACCCGCTCCTCCACCGTGACCGACTCCACTTTCCAATCCTCCTTCAGGAAATAAAGCACCTTGGACAATGTCTTTTACCTTTTGTCTATAACCTGAAAAGGTAGAAAAAAGATATCTCAATCAGTAATACTTAGTTTGGAACTCTGAATTCAAAGTTTTTAATTATACAGAATCATGTGCTTGCTATTATGTTTACACAAAATAGTAGATCAGAGGTTCATTTTTCTCATCAACCTTTTTTTTTCCCTTTTACTTTTGCTTTCAACAAACTTGGAATTTCCAGAAGAAAATACTGGCATAATTTTTTATTTTTTTTGGTAGATAGCACAACATGAAGATACGCAAAGAGTAACACGGAAAAGCTACATAAACCTTGGACACAAAAAACAATTATCTAAACAGAACTTGAAAGAAATGTTAATTGGCACGATTGCAAGGACCTCAAGAAGACAAAGTTGAGCCTAATACAATCAATATCAGAACCTGTTTGAAAGGGATCAGCCAGGTTCACACTTTCTTGTTGGGCTTAGCGCGAGAGGGGTCCTTTGACCAAATGATACTTTATGAAATTAAAAGGATCCAAATTCCCAATTTTACGCACATTTGTCATGCATATTTGGCTGCATTGCTGGGAGTTCTCATTCATATTAGAAAATAGGAAGAACTGTTATTTTCCATATCATTTATATTGAACAAAAAATGATGTGAATTATCTAAAATGTCCACAGAAAAATCATGAACGTCCATTAAATACCAGAAACTTGAGGAAACATTTGCTATAAAACAACAGATCACATGAGAATATATATATATATATATATATACACACATATATACATAGGGAGGCTGAATGAATATAAAACAAGTTACCAATTACTATTTCAAAATAAAATGGGACAAAACAATAGTTATATCATGAATTAAAAGTTCAAAATTCATTAAGCGAACCAACAAATAAATTTCATTTAGCCAATCCTAACAACCTTACCCCAAAAGAAAAATGAGAATAAAGCTGATAATGTCCAAAGGTGGTGTAGCCTAATGGTACTTGCTCGCCTTCTTAAGGAGAAGGTCGAGATTTCAAGTCCCTGTAGGGGCATTATGGGTGTGTGAGTGTGTTCCTTGCCAATGAAAAAAACAAAGCTGATAATGGAAAATGTTGCTATTTAATGCTTCATTCCTGTAAAAATAGACGTGAGAAAGATGACCCACAAATGAAATGTTACATCGTCATTCGTTGGTCTTAATAATAAAATTACAGGTAAAAATGACTTCTGGAGTTATCTCAAGATTCTCAACAAATCTTATACTAGTTAGTCTAGGCTCAGTTATCTGGTTTTCTGCATGAGCTTTCAAAAACTCTACAAGGCATTATTTTATATTGAAGATTCCCAATGATAAACGAAGAGACCTATAAACCACAATTCCACAAGTTAAAATGAAGCATATTCTTTCTTAGTTATTGTATTTCGCTTTCTGATAAGTAAAATTTATTAAAGATTGCCAGAAAAAGTGAGGTAGCAAGTAGCAACCCATAGGGGTAATGTGGTTTCGATTATGGAAAAGATCTACAAGGCCTTCCACAAGACAACAACATTCTTACTGCCATCTGGCGATTACTATGAACTCTATGAACTATCACTCACAACATACAATCTAGTGTGCAGTAATAGTCCTCCCACAAGTCACAAGAATCCTTCTTGACATCACTAAACTTCATTGAGGAGTGCCATAAGGGCCATTCCTGCTACAGCATGTTAATTTCCAACTAGTTCAACCAGCATCCGGAAAGAGGCAGAAACCAACGTAAATAAAGGGTTAGTAGGGAATTACTTCATGCCATGGTTACCTAAACCCACTCAGTAAGGGATTCCACGGCGTCATCTCCCGCAAAGGCACCTTCCCCTCTAACTGAGCCCCCAAAATAAAGCAAGAACTACAAATCAACAAAGAACATTTGAATCCACCAATAATTTCAGACTAACAGGTTCTTCAATATAAAGATCTAGATTAATGACCTAATTGTCAAGCATTCTTATATAATAGGAAAAAAGAAAATACAGAATATAAGGACTTATTGCAACTATTTGTTATGGGCACTAGCTGAATCCCCCATCGACAACATGGAACTGAAATTTAAGTCATAAAAAGTTAATGTAAACCGTAATGGATACGCGTAGAGACACACAGGATTCAGCAGGGAAATGCTTTACACCATCATATCACCAAACATTGAATAATTTGAGACCAAAAGGTCATTATCTACTATTGATTCAACCAATGCTGAATGCTGTAAAGAATAGACCAGACACAAAACTAACTTTTGGCGTAACTTGAACAGAGTGAATTCCATGAATCAAAGAATGACCCCTTAATATTCAGAAACATCTCATCAATATATACATCCAAGTAATATATTAGTCAATATAATGCTCTCCATTCCACCAGCCAAAACTGAAAGACACTAACAGTAAACACTAACATTTTTTACTTTTTCTTACTGCAGGAAACCAGATTACCAGCTGCCAGGTTTCAACAACAATAACATTTATAATAATCTACATCAAACCCATATATACCAATCAATGAATAAAGAGATAAAGATATTAATTTCCCATTTTGTCCAGTTCTTCAACCAAAAGGGAAAACCTTTAGACCCCATAAAAAAAAAAATTTAAATAAATAAAATAAAATACTGTAATATAGAGTCACAGGTTGTGCATGAAACAGGGGCCCACACCTGTGGTTCCTTCCCGAAGGGCCTTGGCGACGCGAAGAGGGGTCTTCCTGAGGCCTTCACGATTGATATCTTCACCCAGACCCTGCAACAGAACTTTCACAGCATCTTCAATGGCCACCGTCTCTGGTTCCTCATCAAAACCCACATCAACACACCCACCCACTTTCACTTTACTCTGTAGCTCCACATTCAATTGCCCCTCATTGATACAACTCATTTACAGACACAAAAGGTCGAACAAGTCGGACCCAAATCACAAATCAAAGTTTTCTACTTACCCAGAAGGAGAGGAAGAGGAAAGGGATAACACAGGGACTAGTGTGTTAATGTATTTATAAGTATACAAACGTAGGGTTGGAGTTGCTGTGTGGAATGTGTGGAGGCCTTCTTTCTTCCAAGTTTTACTTCTCAACATAATGTGGGACCCAGAAAATAATGGTACTTTTCCACGGGAATGGGGGATCTGGGTTTGTTATACCTCCGTCACTTTACGGTGATGGTAATGGTGATGGCGGTGGTGGTGGCGGCGGCGGTGAAAAAAGAGACAAGAGGAGGGCGGTGGTGAGGTGGTTTGGCGGCTGTGAAGTTTTGGTACCCGCCATGAGACGATTTATGGAAAAGGGTAAACGGGAGTGGAACATGCCAAGAAAGGAAAGACGACTCAGCAACTTTACATTTACAACGTAACAACTACTTTTAAATGGTTGATGTAACAAATTTAAATCAAAAGTAAATACTGTATGTTTGAATTATTTATTTATTGTATTGCAGACAATGTAATAAATTGCATGGGCTTTAAATGACGTGTATATTAAACCACATAAATTAAATGAAAATTGAGATTTGATTTCAAATCTGATGCGGCAATAATTGAAAAGATCTTAAAGATTTTTATTTTAATATTTATTTTTATATAGGAGCAGGGCCTGATGCGGTTTATACCCTTATCACCACCATCATCCAACATTTTGTTGGCCCTGAAGGTGCTAATAGTGAACGCAGTCGTGAACTTCTACAGAATCTAAGATGTCCATCTTTAACTCATTTCAGGTGGTATAAGGATGTCGATATATGAACTTTTTATGAATATATGAACAATTTATGAACAATTTTAAACAAGAGTTGAACAGACTTACAGAAAACTTTCTTTATTGAAACTTCCAAGCTAATACAGATACAGAGAAATATTACAAGAGAAAGAAGAGAAAATTGAAAGGTTACATTGAAGGGAAACTTTGCCCTCTATTTATACATAAAATGGACTTGAAATTAACATTTTGAAGTCCGCATAGTGCATGGGATCGTGTGCTGGAATAATGCAGTCGGTTGGCCCACCACTAAGTGCTGTCGCCTTATCTGATGGAAAGTAGGCATCGGACAAAGGTCATACTGTAGAACCAAAGACTTTTGGGTAAAGTTCGTTCGCTGCTTCTGTCGGCAGGATAAGAGGAATCTTTACTTTTTGGGTGGATGTGGATTCATCTTGTCCTTCAAGTGTTCGGTGAGAGAGTCCCAATAGTCTGCTACTGTAGGCTCATCTTCAGAAATAAGATCTTCATTGGGATCTTGTGCATAACCTGCTAGACAGGAAAACTGATTACCGTCTTGGCTGGTCTGGCTAGAGACTGACACCATGGATGCATCATCTCTTACTGTAGGAGTGGAGGATTCAAAGGATTTAACAAATTTAGTCCTCATAAAGTCCATGCATTTAACCATTAAATCAGCTTCGGTAATTAATGGTTGTTGTTTTCTGATCATATCTTTAACAAGATCAAATGGGTTAAAGATTTCGGGTTCCGGAATAGTTAACTTTGGAATCTTATCCATGTATTCCATTGTTTTCTTTCTGATCTGATGGAGGAGGGCTTGGATAGGCTCTTGAGTCATGCCTGACCACCATCTGTAAGAAAAGATCCTTTGGAGGACCGGTAACTTGTCAGTGGTATAACCACATTGGAAATCCCATTTCCAAATCCAAGGGATTCCAAATTCAGTAAAGAACAATAGGGTGAATTTTCCTACAGGAATATTATCCTGTCCCCGTAATTGAGGATGAAATTGTTGCCATGGCAAGTATAAATGACTGATTGATTCAGGCAACATATCCAGATCTGGGCCAAATATAGCCCACCAGGGTATAACCCAGTTTGGGAAATCAGCCTTAACTGATTGGGGGCATATCTTGAGGAACCAAGAATGCTTATGCTTCAGATTTTGATAAAAGAACGAATATGTCCAAGCTGAGATATAATCCCAATAATTGTAACTGTGACCATAGGATATTTTCCTTGGCAAATTGGGATTTAATCCCCAGTCACTAGGCCGTATAAGCCTCTTAAAGATAGCTTTACTATAACTAAGAGGACTATCTTTGGAATTCGGAAATTGCTTCGTGTGGCTTATCTCCACAGAGGAAGTTTCAGTAAGAATGGCTTCATAGATATATCTATGGCGACCATCCGGTGCAGCATATTGTTGAGTTTGGAAATATCTGGATTTTATTTCCCAAGGATCTGGCATCCATTGCTCATCTTGAGAATCCAGTACCAATACTGTTTGAATATACCTTTGATTAGGTATCCATGGAGTTTCTTGTTCAAGAACCTCTTTCATGGTTGGTTTCTGTTGTTGTTGCTGGGAACTACTGCTTCCTTTAGAAGGAGTTTTGAGTAGATCAACAACATGCTCCAAATATGGAAACTGATCATCAGTGAGTGGTATAACCACTTTGGCCTTAGCCTTGTTTTTGCCACGAGCCTTTGGAGTATTACCACTCCGGCCCTCCCATGGGGGGGCTGATTCATGAACCCTGCAAAAATTCACGAGTTAGAAAATCAGGTAAAGAATTAGAACTGCCTTTAATATATTCAATAGAAAAATCAAAAGCAGATAAATCAGCTTGCCAACCAGCAAATATCTGTTTGGAAACTAAATTCTTTACATCTTTTTCCAGTACTTGTTTAGCAGCACTACAATCAATGCGTAACAAGAATTTCTGATTGATTAAATCATCTTGGAATTTATAAATGCATTTAACCAAAGAAAGAATTTCCTTTTTTATGGTTGAATAATTTAATTGTGCATTTTTCCAAGTTCCTGAAGTGAAGCGAACAAGCTCCTCTGTTCCTGTGTTCGGATTTTTCTATTTAAGAATACCACCGTATCCGATATTGGAGGCATCTGTTTCCACAATTTTGAACCATGAAGAATTAGCTAGAGCTAAGCAAGGAATTTGTTTGGCTCTGAGTTTAATCTTCTGGACTGCCTTGGTGTGTTCCAAAGTCCATGGGGAAGGAGATTTCCTTAACCTGGTATACAAAATTGCGGTGTCCTGTGCAAGATCTCTGTAGTGATTGCGAATATAATTCAAGCTACCCAGAAATCTTTGAAGTTGAGTTTTATCCTTTATTTCATCTGGAAATTTAGAAGCAAACTCAATACTGCGATTAATAGGTCTAATTTTCCCATCACAAATTTCATGACCAAGAAATCGGACCTGAGTTAAAAACAGTTTTAGTTTAGGAGCAGAAACTACTAAACCACTTCGGTAAATGATATTTTTGAAAATTTTCAAGTGTTTATAATGCTGATCGATTGATTTTGAAAATATGAGAATATCATCAATATAAACAATAGAAAATTCAGTAAAAGGATTAAACATGTCATTCAAAATATGTTGAAATTCTGAAGGGGCATTTTTTAACCCAAATGGCATCACTGTCCATTCATACTGTCCGAAAGGTACACAAAAGGCTGTTTTGTACCTGTCTTCTTCTGCAATCTGTACTTGGTAATATCCAGATTTAAGATCAAATTTAGAAAAGATTACAGCAGATTGTAATCTATCTAAAAGATCTTTGATGTTGGGAATTGGGTATCGGATCCAACTTAAAGCAAAATTGAGTGGCCGATAATCAATAACCAATCGAGGAATTCCTCGTTCTTTTTCAGCATTTTTATTGACATAAAAAGCTCTGCAACTCCAGGGGGAGTAGCTAGTAGTGACAAGCTTCTTAGCCATTAAAGAGCTGATTTCAGTCTTGCATAATTCCAAGTAGTCAGCTTTCATGTGGCTGGGACTAGCTTTCGAAGGAATCATGCGATCGGTAAATCCCTTTTCATAGGGAAAAGAAACAATATGCTTCTTTCTGGCCCAAAAAGCATTAGGAATCTCACTACAGATTTCCTTTAGAAAGTTTTGTCGTAGTGACTCAATTTTCTGTTGCTCAGTGGGTTGTACCAATCTTTGATTAATTGCTAAGGATGAGACCTCCTTTTGCAAATAATTCAGTTGCTTTTCCTTAAAGATAATGTTATCTTTAAGAGCATTGATATGCTTATTTACGGGTGGGGTCAAGAACTGGAAAGTAATTGACTGGCCCTGTAAGTTAGAGCATATTCCATGAGAATCAATTTTCTCAATTGGCATAATCAAAGCTAAAAAGGGAGTTCCCAAAATAACTTGTTGTGCCATATTCCTGATGAGTAAGAAAGTAGATGGTAGACAAATACCTTCTTTACAAATGAAAACGTGATTAAGTTTATACTTAATCTGCATCTTACCTCCACTTGCACTGGTAAGACCTTGAGTGGTCTTCTCAAAATATTGAGTAGGAACCAATCCTTCCTGTATGCAGTTCATGTCTGCACCACTATCAACTAAGGCGATTGCATTAGTGATTGTGTACTCCTGATTAATTACCAAATTGATAGAGACATACCATTTCTGGTAAGTAACTTGATTCAAGAGTTGGAGATAATTAGGACCTTCTGATTGAGGAACTTCATCATTGGATGATGAAGTTGGAATTGCAGATTTTGCTTTTAAAAGAGTAATTTCCAAATCCATCGTAGTCTGACGAGACTTTAATTGACGAATTTCTTCTCTTAAAAGATTAATCTCCATTCTAAGATCAGGGAGATTAGTAGGACGCGACGTTTGTCCTTGGTGTTCTAATCTGCTTAGAACTTCTTTCATGCTGTAATGATTTTCTGCTCGCAGAAAATCTGGATTATCCGTGTCCTCATTAGATCGTGCCAAAGCAGAACCTATTTCAAAGACTTTCATCTTGATTTGAGGATCCTGGATATGATCTATAAGATCCAATAAGGATTGTTGAGTCGAAGTCAACACATTTAAGCTTAACCCATTCATCTCAACAATTGCCTTATAATAATCATCATGCGAAGGATTACAGGAACATCGAGGATTTTCAATCTCTGCTTCAGAGGAAGAAGAAGACTGTAATTCCATGACAACATTTCCGTAATCATTTGATGATTCTGTTTCAGAAGAACTAGTATTAAGTAACAATTTACTTAATTGAAGTCTCAGTTCCTCTTCTATGTGAAGACTACTGAGTTTCTCCTTAGTTCTGCACTTGTTTGCATAGTGGCCAATACGTCCACATTTGAAACATTTAGCCTCAGCCTTGGGCTTTCCTTTACCCTTTGCTTTAGGAATATATTTCCTTTTAGGCCTAGAATACTGT